TTTAATGTCACTGAAACTGAAGCTGAACAAAACTACACTTAAAATAGACGCGGACAACAACAAATATACATGTCTTCATCGTGTTCTCAGATGTGCCTGGTATGTATATAGGTTGACTGAAGTGAGCCTAAATACGGTGATTTCTCGCTACAAGAAAGTGACGAAGGTCAAAAAATGCTTCATAAACAAGACCCTTCACTCAGTGTCACTAAGAGAAAGGGTTACCAGGTTGTCTATTGCTAGGCTGATCTAATGACTTTTAAACTCTTCTCTAAAAGAGAGAGACAAAAAAACGTGCTGCAGCAGTTGGCCTCCTATTATAGGCTGAGCCCCATACTTTAGATTCGATGGCCAGGGCGAATACGATAGTACCGAAAATGTATTTTCGTCAGTGCTAAAGGTGTTATACCTAACCGGCGTTACTTCCAGTATTACCAGTTTTACAAATCAATAGCTCTTGACAATCAATCTTTGAAGGTTTGTTTCGACGACACTAACGCTTCGGGTCGAGGATCAATCATAATCGATAATATTCTCTTTTGAGAGAATACGTAAGGTGATTTTTCCTAAAAATGTGAGATCTGTCATCAGCTCTGACTAGAATATATCATTCCCAAGAACATTATCGCTTAATATACCATTTATGAGTGGAAGCATTAAAATTTTACCGAAAAACGTGTAACACCTCGTGGACAGTCCATTGCTACATGATAATTACTATTACTAATAAGCTTAGTAGAAGTAGATGGCACTTATGCCTTTGAAACTACGTAGTGACTTTACATATATATATATAGAAAATAAGCTGTCATGTGGAGTTTGATTAGTTAAGCTATTGATTAGCGTACTAGTGTTGCCGAAATTGGCCATTGAGGCTTTGTACAACAGATTTTCTTCAGGAAGGCCACAACTGGCTCCACATATAAGCATATTCAGGACTCAATCGAATGCGCAACCGCGCTGACCTAATACGCCCGGACAAAACCAATATTCTAGAACTGCAGAATTGACATCGAGATAGTAAAAAGTGGTGTACCACGCCGAACTTGCGTACCTCATTTTGTCAGTGATTAATGTTATCGTAACATTAATCGATATAATAAAATTAATCGATAACATTAATCACAGACAAAATGAAGTACGCGTCTAACCAAAAATTTTGTTTTTTTTTTCTAGTTCTTATATGCTGTGTCGTTCCGCATAAATAAGATCTATCGGAAGGTTAAGTATGTGAGACAGTCTGTTGACCCCATTATCGTATAGATTTCCATTTTAAAAACAAAGCTTTTGGCTAGAACCTTATTTCTTGCGGATATAGCAGGGAACTAGGTGCATAAATGGTGCTCGCATTGAAGTTACTTTTACATCATATAAAATCACTTTAAACTGACAAATGATTACTATTGCTACCAGGTTAAACCTACATATAAGCTCACAACTACAAAGTTAACTCAAAGGCTAGTCTCTGGTGATGTTGGTACCGTTCGAGTTAAGATAGCTCTCCATTCTCGTTTACAATGAACTTATTTATTACTGACCGTTTTTGAAATAGTCGAGAGAAGCTAACCTTTTTACCAGACTTTCAGCAATGAATAATAGTGAGAATTATATCTGCGTAACTTCAACGCCGCTACCTTGTGGAAAGAACTAGTGCGTTAGTCGGAGACTCGCACAATACTAGCTGAGGCCAGGACGCATCTAAACGGACATTCATCTTAATCTATTTATTTATGTATCACTAGATGCGTCATCCCTATTCCTAAAAAAGTGTTCAGGTGTGTCTGAAGAGAAGTGACTGACGGGAGACTGACAAGTACGCCCACGTCCGCAACTGAGAGAACTATGGAAATAGGATCAACATTGGAGACATGTTATCACAATTAGACCACACACATTTCGGTGCAACGCTGTGCAATTCGTTGCGCTTGCAATGCTCTATGAACTGAGGATCGCAGGAGGGTTTTCCAACCACCGGACTCGAAAGACAACAGGGCGGTAGACTTTCAAATAAACGGCGCGCAACGTTGAACGATATTGAAGCCTTTTATTAATATATATGTTCAAAATAAGAGGATCCTATCGATCGATACAGCAATAGCCGCGCCGCGGACGTTTGCTTATTGAGTTTCACCTTTTGGTCAACTTAATACCGAGTTGTCCGTGGGTCACATTAGATAATTAGGGGACTGTTTTTCTGTAGATAGTTCGCTCGTGTACACTTTTGACATCTGCTGTCGATGAGTCATTGTTACTAGCTTCATTTAAAAGAATCTGCCTTCGATGGTTAGTACTATTATTATTATTATCGTCTAAACGTCTTCAAAGCAAGGCTTCGATACGTGAGTAGCTAAAAATAAGCGATGCGTGGAGTAGCAACTAGCCGGCAAGTGATTTGGTTGAAGTCCGTTATGTCCATTAACGAATGGGGCAGTTAGTGTGAACTTGTGGCTAACAACACTATGACAGGACAATGCGGAGAAGTTTACTGGGGCGCAGGAAAACTTCGTGAATATGTCGAAGAATGCCTTTAGAGGTGAGCGAGAAATATTTCTAGCTGATTATATTAATCGATGAATAATTAGAAGTTTAATACTAGGACAAATGGATTCTACGACACCATCAGATTGGGGCAGATGATGGTTTACTCTTAGATACCCATTTTGGCTAATATTTTCTACGTATTAATCTATCTGAAAGTCAATATAATCAATAAAATACTTAATATTTAACACCGCTGAACATTCGAACCAACTGTGGATGTTTCAATAGATGTCCTGAATTGGCAAATGTATCTCGACGGCTATTCTCGGTAGGGTTGCGTGCGATCGCAACGCTCTATGTTGGACTAGAACGAGACGGCCATTTATGATTTACTTCTAAAAATGTCGAGGGAACATATTGGCTCGTCATTATCTGTATTTCTTACCTGTTCGTCAATGACGCACTTGCCGTCGGAGCACACAACGCCCGATTAGCAATCATCACTGCTGTACTATCGTTGGCTTCGAAGGTTTCACCGATACAATCATGGATGACTTTTGTTTCACACGCTTGAAAGCTATTTAAAATAAATATCATAGATTGACGTTTTTTACTGGTTATAGCTCGGTCGATTGAAGTACGCGATTATGATGGAAAATACCAAACCAGCTACCCTCATCACTGCAACTGAGTAATGTAAAATCTTTGCTTGTTTCTACATGAAAATATAAATCTAATAGTTTGAATATTCCAGACGTGCTCTCGCCCCAAGTTAAGTATCAGAAAGCCTTAGTGAAGATGGCGTTGTAATAACGTAACTGCTAAATTAACCAGATTTCGCGTCTTGTATTTATAAAGATAAGAAAATGATTTGAAAAATACTTTGCTCGGCTATTGTCACCGTAACGAGCTACTCGAAATCAGCCAAATTTTAATTGGATCTTCGTTATAAAACAAAAAAAAAATTCTAACTATCCTATTATCGTCTAAAAATGGATTGTCCCAAATCAATTCACGAACCTGCATATGTTTACTAAAACCGGTGCTTAAGTCTTCAAGCAAAAGTAATGACGAGCAAAAAATGACTAAGCACATATACTTCCAATACGAAAAATGTTCTATAATTTCAAAAGCTTACCAACCAGGTGTTTCTCAGGTATTTTTCAATACATTTGCTGACTAGATCAGTTCAAAGTCGACTTCTTTGACAAAATCAGCGGCGGCTATTTCAAACCTCAAAAGAAGCTTTCAATAATTAAACATTGTCGTTAAAACAATGTTAGATGTAATCTAGCGAGCGGAGCGTAACGTTAGTAAACTTGAACTAATAGCAAATCAATGATTGGCAGTATTGTGCCGATGCTGTTCTTCTCATCTATTCCGTCATGGTAGCCCCTGTTAACGCCGCATGTGTGATGTTCAGAAATACATCAGGATGATGCCTGATATGATGTTTTATTATTAGAACCGGCGAATGGTATACAACGAAAGCATCATTTTTTAGGTGCAACTAACAGCGACTCGAAATAAACGTTATTCAAATAACTGAAACCAGTTGCACCCCTCTGTGCCAAGACCCACACAGCGTTTGGTTCTATCGGTAGCCTGATAGCCCCTTCAGCGTGCGGTACTGATGTTGAATGGACAGCGCGTGCAGTTTTGAATGTTTCCTTCTCCTAGGTTGAGCTACCGCGGCGCATTCTGTCTATGTAACACAGTCAAAAACACTGAGATCCCTACGTAAATTTCCATAGGTGTGCCATTATGTCTATATTGCATTGTTGTTACTGTATTCTACAGAGACTCAAAGAAGGTTGGGACGTTTAGAACGATTGGAATCATTTTTCAAGCAAGTGCCAACTGATGCAGCACTGCAGGAGATTGCTGCACTTTTTGCAAGATATGTGCTGTCAATCAATGTCAGACACATGGCCTCTTTCACATTAGAATATATGGAATGAGTGTTTGAGTAGCACAAAGCAAGTCCAAAATGAATTACTCAACAAATAGCTTTGAGAAAAACTGACCAGTACCCAACGCCCAATCAAGGTAGGAATCATCAGAGGGTAGTGCTATCGTAAGTAATCGAAATCTTTTATCGTCTATCTACCTGAGCGGTTGTCTAACAAGGGTGATTTTGACTGGCCAAATGAAAAGAGCGAAGATACGAGCAGCATTTTTTTAAAATAAGGGTACTACATGAAGGTGGCCGTATTAAAGCTTTGTAAATAATAAAATTTTAAAGTACTATAGTATATTATTGACGATACGTGATTTATTATTGTGATTACAAATCATAGAAATCGCAACTGATTCAATGAATTACGGGATGCAATAAGGTAATAAACTATCGCTACTTCAGCGTCGTTAGGTAAAGTTCAATAATACAAACTCGTACAGTTTTGCAGGCAAACTATCAACTTCCATCGTTGCCAACGCTATATTCGTCTTTCAGGATCAACGTGCTGCAATGTATTTCTCCTTTCTGTATTTCTTAAATGTATGTAACATTTGAGCGTATTTGACATCTGGAAAAGCACCTGTCAGGGATTCAATAGCACTTGGAAGTCCGTTGAACAGATGAGTCTTGAACGGATATAAAGGTGATCGTTATGTAAACAACACATTATTATATAAATGTGCAATTTTTACTCAACTCGCTTATCGCAAACGTATTCGAAACTAACCCGTATAAACACAATATATTACACAAAAAAAAAACCAAAAAAGTTCCATTAATGAAAGGACAACTTGCAACGATGATGCCGTTAAACATGAGTCACTGTCACGTTGAACAATTAGCTATTTTTTCAGTCTTCTATGTATACCATCATTTTAAGGAAGTCCCTCGTGTTACGATTACAAGCAATGGCTTAAACCGAACTCGAGGCGTATAGCGCCGTACAATACAATGTGACAATCGCTGTCAAATTGAGCAGCGCTGTTCGTTCAGATGAACGTTCTCTTTACAAATCGAGTATCGGTTCGTTGAGATCTGGAAACCAATTGTGTATCTAGCGTTATCGCAGGGTTCTGATAGGCTATCTAGTATAGCAGTAGTAGCAACATAACTGACACAGCAGATTTCATCAAAATATCTAGAAAGTTTAGAGGAAGCACTTCAGTAAATATATTCATGAGTCTAGTTGTGATATTTTTATGTGCACTGCTAGATTGATGACATTAAATCTGTAAAAAGTAGGGTACAGATTTATTCCTACCGAAATCTTGGCGGGGTGCGATGAAAGTCCTTCACAAGCTGCGCGAGTGTTTTTCCCGGCGGGTTTGGATTGCGGTAACTGCCGTTTCCGCCGAAAGCTGTTACCAATGAAAATGCTTATAGTGAATATCTGAATTACAATATTAATATTTCAACAACAAATATTTGCATAATCCAGCACGTTAAAAAAAAGTTCGACTTCAATACTGTCACAGTATATTATGCATGTCTTGAATAATGACTGGTATGTCTTTTCCAGTTAAAACGGTCTAAGCTGGAAGAATAGGTGCTGGGTTTGTCATCCTTTTGATCAGCTCCCGGAAAACATAATGATGAAGCCAAGATAGTACTAGAGGTGCACGGTCTTTTCAACAATTCGCACTGGTATAACTTTAGCATCTTTTTCTTATAATGCATATTATATAGAATATAATATATATATGCTAGGGTTATATAAATTAACCCTAGCGTCTAATCGCACCTGACGCCGGCGAAGTTATAGACGGACTTTGACGAAGTTTTGATGGGACCCGCTTTTTTATTGAGCTAGCTCCTGCCATTACAGTAGAAAAACTAGGTACAGAGACCGTGGAGCAGTTCGCACATGAGAAACCGGAAGTCGTATTCAACTTCGACATGTTCAGCCTCTCTTTCGCAGGACGCTTCTCAGGCGCAGCATCTCGTTTCGGCAGCACTGAACGGAAAACTTCTCCTGCTTGTCAGCGAGGAACGAACAGCGCTTAGTGGGTAGTACCTCATAGATGGGTCTTTGAAAAATTACAGTTATAGCAGAGATGTGCTCGTGCATTGCGATTAGTGTGAGATGTATTACAATTCGTACAAAAAAGTTTACATCAAGGTTGTTGCGCGTAGGACCCTAAAAGTTATTAGAGGTCGAGTCATATAACCACAAAACTTAATTCCACAGTGATAACACGGCCGAATAAAGCGTTCGTTTTCTGAATAAAAAATGTTGTGCTGATCTCGTTGAATCATTGCAGCAACACAAAAGAGATGGGTAATCTAGTAGTATATTACGTGTAGGCTGGCATATAGATATTGGGTGTTATGTATGAACTTACCGACTTTGCTCTTTATGTGGGCGTAGGGGTTCCGTGTTTTGCTAGAGATAGGCTTCTTTTTCGACGGCAATACGGGCTGCTTTCCAGCTATTATCGTTTTCCTCAAAGAAAGCTTGCGGAGCGAATCTGCAAATAGCGCCAAAACTAATTTGGTGCAATTCGTAATCATTGGCATTCCTGCCTTTTCGAAATTAAGCTTTTAATTTATGTTAATGACGATGATCGTCAGATTGATTGAATAATGATGGTAATTCTACTCTTGCACGTTCTTTTCATAATATAATGCCATTTTTTTCTTTAGGTCTTTCGAGAAGCAAAACGCACAAACGTCTACCGTTAGAGCTCTTATATTTCCAAACTCCTAGAAGCTATAATCATTTGACTTAGATACCTCTATGGTTAAATTGAATACGTATTCCTTTGACCAGCGACTTCTTCCGCTTTGGGGTAAGAACCACGAGCGAGTTGGCACGAACCTGCAAACACAACTCTCATTACTACTATTATGTTTTGGATTAACAAAGTAGCAAGGATTTTTATCATAGCTTCAACTATTATATTAGATAAAATAGGAGAGTGGTTACTACATAGTATAAGGATTTTTTTTCTAACTAATCAAAAACGTAGCATTTCAGCCGAAGTCCAGCAATAAACCAACTTGTAATACCAAGAAATGTATTCGCTGCCATTTTCCTCAACCTGCTTTCATGTTTTAGTTAATTTATTCACTGCTACTGCCAGAAGTTGTCAGGTTTGGCGTCAAAGAATTAGGCCAGTAAGGTTTTGAGGCTCTTTTCACAGTCGATTGTAATGTTGCGACTCTCATCGGTAGCGGAAAAAATGGTAACCCAATAGCGTGGGGCCTGGAAATACGCTAAAAGGATCTCCCACTCAAGCATTCGCTGGGCGACTTCACCGACCTCGCCACGTGTAGTTTGACATTATCCTAAAAATAGATGAATTGGCGTCCTCTATCGAGCCTTTTTCTGCTGAGATGCAAGTAGCCGATTTATAGGTATTGACTGACCGTCTTGTTCTTCTTAAGCAGCTTCGGTATACAAGACCCTGTTAGTCCTGCTAAATCATGGTCTTAATGGAAACCTAACTTAACTGTGAACTTAGACATATCCCCGGAGTTACCTATTTTTTTTTCTGCTTCATAGGGGCGTGGAGACACTGCTTGTTGTCATTCGTAATAACTTTGTGTAGAAACATGTCATTGTGACTGCGTGTTGGGTAATGCCAACTCTGGGAATCTTGAAAAGTCGTATCTTCTTGTGCGCTTAATTTGGCCTATGGCGTACCCTAACATATATTATATAAGATATATAAATGGCATGCCCATCAAGACTGATATTTTTGCATATAAATATCTGTTATTGTTTAGATACAGTGTTCGAGAAAAATTGGAAAAACGGTTCCGAATTTCATTTAAAACACGCTTGTTATTGAAGTTACAAATGGCCCAGAAGAGCACGGGGGCAACATGTTCGGGGTAAACATGGAAACATTACTAGGGCTACTTGACATAGGGGACGACATCAAATGTGACCCCTCGGCTCTACCAGTTGAGGCGAAAAATGTCATGCCAGCAAAATACCATTGATGAGTTGGGGGTAGGTGCTTTCTTGAGGTTGTTGTTGTTTTGCGCTGGTATAATCTTTTTCTTCCCATGAGCTGGACGGGTAAGAAGTGGTGTTACGTCTATTTTTCCATCATTTTCGTCAGGATCTACCTCTTCAACAAGAGCGGACGCCATTGGAAGAGACCATCGGCCTAAAACATGGCGTTTCAAGACCTTCTGTGTCAAGGTCCTGGGCTGCGGGATAACTCGATAGCCGTGCGTTGCTAAAAAGTTATATTCATGAACAATATGGGCAGTTATAGCATATTCATTTTATAACATCTAGCATTCAAAATAAAAGTATTCAATAATTTCCTTTTTGCAAATGAATCACAAAGGCTCCAAAACAGCAGAATACAGTAAAATTTTTCTAAAACGTATCTTGGGATGGGAATAATTTAAAAATAGTTTTAGCCTATTAGCAACACGAGGACAAGTTGATCAGATCATCTCCAAATGAGTCTCTATTTTCGAAAAAAATATCTGGAGCATGTCAGTGGTACCTTGTTTGCAGGCAGTATCGATTCTATCTTCAGGAAGGCATAATGGGTTCACTAGGGTATTACCAGGTCCCGGTCGAGTGATGCGTTTGAGGCGCGTTTTTGGAGGCGTCCGTGGACGGGCTAATAGTGCGAGCGGAGTTACCGGTGTCAGCTCCTTTGAAGCCTATAAGCGACAACTCGCTGGTGTTATAACTTAAACTTAATTTGTGCCTTAAATAATTGACGTTAGACTAACAAAGATAAAGCGACATTGATCTTAAGGATTGTTCTAAAGTCAGAACTTCGAAATATTATGACGAACGGTTATATTTGTTCAAACTGACGCTATTTTTCGCCTGCTGATCTTCTGGCGGAATTGGTTTCTCAGGAGGTGGCCGTCGAAACATGATCTTTTCACGGATGCTCTGACTACGCCTGCCGAGGAAAACATGCAATATATTATTGTCAATGCGCCTTTCATTTCCTTACGGTGAATTTCTGATCATTTTTGAGTTTCTCAACATATAGGCTTAGGTGTCTAAGCCTCTGCGATACCATTGAGGGGGTCGTTAAGGCTGCTACATGCGCAACCTGCTCGTAATTCTTATTTTGAAAAACGCGTTCTCGATGTCTTTTCGTACCTTTGAATGCCTTTTCGGGCTGACTCCGCTAAAGCAGCCGCTATCGTACGATGTTTATCGGCAGTTTTTGCTTGTGTAGACGAAAGATCATTTACGCTAGAAAAGTAACCTTGGCGTTCTTTGTTGGGCAAAACGGGATCGCTAATGGGCCTACAGACAACAAGCCGAAAAGAAGCATTTTGGCGAATCATCTCCTTGTGAAATAAACTACTTCCGAATAAACGGCACTAACATGTATAACAACCAACCATCAACATAATCGCAACGCTATCCTATTACTTTCCTAGTAGTATTACGCTGCTTTAGATGCTCAGCACGTAAAACAGAACGGCTCAGCTGTGAGTCCCGCCGTTGCTTAAATTTCTGAATCTCTTAGCTATGACACGTGAATTCGTCAGTTCATAGCCTCAGGCACAAGATATCAAATGAATAGGGTACATAATATTAAATAACAATGAATATAAACAGACTCAAATTCTAAAACAGCACACGAAACGGCCTAAGCCTTGTCCGGTATTTTCTTTGCCTGAGCAAAACACATAGATTTGTCAAACTTGGTAAAGATGATGGCTAGGAAGCAAGGAGAACCTGTATGCTAGTGATCGTCGAATGAATTTCTCAGGTAAGCATCGAAGACGCGCATTTTTTAAAAATAAAATTAAAGATCATCAAGATAATTCTGCTGTTGTCCCGGTTATCGCTCAGTAACGTACTAATCTCACCGAAGTTTGCCCTTTCTACATTAAGTAGAACATTGTCCGAATTGTTATTACAGTTATAAATAATTCTTACAGTAGTAACAGAACTTAAAACAACAGAATTAAAAATGATGATCTCTCGTCGCTACAAATAATATAACAAATTTCACAAACAAAAACAACCAGTTACGTTAGCCTATTAGCGTTCCACAAAGTCACAGTATGAACTACTGAATTATGCGAAATAATTCGTAACGTATTTTCTGCTTAATTCATGGAACAAAATCAGTTATATCAATGATAAATTAGTTTCATGATTGAAGCTCATGTGTTTCATGTGTTGCTCGGTGGAGACACACTGAACCATGTTTAAGTATATCATTGGCTATATTCAACAATGGATTTTTATAGGCTTACGCGGGCGACTTTATCCGAACTACAGACTTGCTGATCGATCTTAGCTCAATCGTCTGATTTCTCGGTGGAATTTTCGTCTTTTCTGGAAATTGACTTTTTCGTTGCTGTTCTTGTGATGCTTGCGATCGCGGGAGCTGTTGTAAAGGTCCCACAATGCCGGCTACGAGACCCTTGGCTTGACGCTGCTCAAAGAACTCATCGACAGTTGGATCGTCGTCAAACGTGTTGGGACATGAAAGAGCATCGAAGTCTGCAAAGTCGTTCGAACTTGTTCGAGAACCAAGATTCCTGGTACTCCCGAATCCAGCCTTTAGATTGAGCTTGCTCAGCGGAGCCATTTAATCACGGTTCCTCTGTTTGCGCGTTTCCGGCGTTTTTCTTGACTACCTGCGTATATGCAAAAGGTCATAATAATGTCGGTTATCTATACGAGTTAATTATTCTTCTATTGATTAGCAATGGTAATAAAATCGATGAGGTTTATTTGAAAAAGATCCATTTACAGTATCACCGATCATAAACAAACAGAGGGTATAGCACGAATTCACAAGCAAGAATTCTGTACAACGCATATAACTTGTGCGTTTTACAGAAAATTCAATATGAGAGTACTCTGGTTTGAAGCAGATAAAGACGCCACGACAAAAAATATAGCTAGTATTTATAAAATAAGCCGCGCTATCTATTACTTGCCTTATTCGAAACGAAACTGTTGTATCGCGACAACAAACAGGCTACCAATCTCCCTCTGTTTTTTTGCTAATAACACCTCAAGTCTTGGCAAATAAGCAGTTGGCCCCACGTCGTCTGCTGTTCCAAATAAATTCTCCACAAATTCGTGTCTTCGTCTGGATAATTGGGTGGCTTTGAAAGGAGTGCAAAGATTGTTCTTGCCGTAGATGTCGAACGTTGGGAATCATGTATGTGCACGCATGATAACGCATATGAGTACATGTTTCATTGAAGGGTTTGTCGAAGGATTATGCATACGACGATCGTAGTGCCCATCGATACCCACTGGTAATGTCAGTGTGCCGAAAGATGTAATAAGAGCTATTAGATGTTGAAATTCATGCCGTCTAGTAAAGAAAAAAAAAAGCTGAACTGAGAACTGTGAATAGTCTTTTGGATTAAAGCATGTTTTTCAGTTTTGGCAGGTACAACACGAAAGGTACACTGAGTAACAAAGGTCGCAAACCTAGGCTTAGTATATTGTGCAAGATTGTAATCTATTGAATAGCTTGGCTAATGCTATCCCGTGAAGATGATCTGCCCTATAATTATGACAGATTATACAATACAATAGCGCAATAGAATTTATTATTCCACCTTCAATCATATAACAATAAACGGCCGAGCCTAATAGGACACCAGCCGCTATTTTTGGCGTACAAATTTGCAACCGAAAGATGTTCAATCGAGCCTGTTGACTTGCGACTTATGCACATTTTTTTAATACGTAATAAATTACGATTAGTGCACAATTTTAGTGGAAAAGTAGCATAGACAAGAACCTCTTTGCAAGATTGATTAATCTCACGAAAAATCTTAACAGAACTAGGAAAAAGGAGCAATTGGACTAGATGAGAATAGGATTATGTCGGGTATAGACAACGCAAAAACCGTCTTGAAACAGCCCCCATCGCACAGCTCAAGAACACATAGATGCAACGATCCGAAAACTTGTCCCCTACGAATGGCTGAGAAGGGGAGCAGCTCATACGTGTAGTAAGCGTATGGGGCTTGTTGACGCTAAATGAAGTACGCCGTTCGCCGTCAGCATGCCCGTAAGCAACCACGGTAAAATTTAGTCATAGAATCTATACTTTTGTTTTTACTTTTAAACATTGTTCTTTAGTTGGGTAAAAGATATATACAGGGACACATTTACGTAGTTCATTCGTGTGATAAAGGTAATTCGCGTGATCCACATGCCGTCCGTGATTCAAGCAGAAAATATTTGGTCACTTGACTAAGAAATCAGCTTAACAAACGTGCAGGTAATGAATTATATTACAGATAACTACAAACGATACAGCGTAACGAAAATATCGCATATGTCATTCGATTCAAATCGTTTACGAGCAGAACTCAAATTATTTTTTAAACTATTGCAAAAACCCTAGTATAGGTAGCAGGAACGATTGGTCAAAACGGACGAATTCACATTTTTCAGGAACAGCTATCTCTTAGCGTCAACGTCGCCTCTGATGGCTGCGATCCTTCGATCGTGCGGAGGAGATTGACACTTATCATTTGCATAATCTGTAGCTAACGAGCGTTGATAACCTGCGTAGGTTTAGAGCTGAATTTATATTGGTGATTCGATAATTGGATAAAAACTTATTGGATTGCATAAAAACGCGCAAAATCGAAATAGGAGGCATGATAAACCCGCTTTTTTAATCCAGAAACATTGAATATTGAAAATTACTTAAACTCAATGCATCATGAAAAAATGCAAAATCATATGCGATACTCTCATACTTGAAACGAATCAGTTAACCATCTGCTACTAAACTCATCATTTTTGTGGGATGCAGAACAAACAAAATGTTTATTTCCTATATCGTTTCCAGTTCAAAGAAGCCAAAACCTTGTTAAATATCTTCATTAAGTGTATTTGTTGGAAGAAGACAAATAAATAGTACCAAGCTCTATAGGGTAAATCGATCTATTCAGCTCAGTCTGCAAGTCGTTTTTTCTGAAAACACGATTAGAGCTACAGTAACCTGACAGCTACCTTGGAAACCCTCGCGAGCGAGAGATATAAACCTTAGCAGGATTTAAAAATAAAGCAAGAGGTATCTTATGCAAAGCGAATTATTATTCAGTGCTTATCTAGGTTGAGGCGATTTTGAACAAATAGTTCTGTTAGTAAGGTACTTCGAATTGAATCGTTTGGGGGCGCTATCGCCTCTTTTGACACTTCTCGGACATACCTGTTGCAATAAAATCTATGAAAACCCAAGTTACAGACAACTCAGCATATTAGAGCCTTGAGAAGATTTTATGATATATACGTTCCTTTTCGTACTGTAAATGATGATTTTTAACAAAATACAATAATATGAACCTTAGTCGTGCGGTTCTCTTTTAAGGCGTGCTTTGAACTTTAATTTGCACATAAAATACGGAAAATCCATTATTAGGAACCCTATACCAGCTTTGTACGAAAGCCAGGTTAAAAAATTGACCGAAAATCTGCCTTCAATGTTTTCAAGCTTGAAGGGGCATCTATCAAGACGTTTCCGACATCATGGCGATAGCTGTTATCAGTGTTCAGCCTTGCTTTCAAGGTCAAAGGTGAACTGCTTTTTGGGTCATATTGGTACGCGATGAATAAAATATTACTTGATGTACACTTCGGCCGCGCACGCCTCTTTATCGATAAACATCATGATAGAATACAAAAGCTAATTAAGAGCGTGTCACGGTCGAATAATATATAATCCTATATTCGGAGTTGTATAATTTTTAACTAAAGGTGAGTATAACATACGGTCACTAACGTATATCCATATTTTTTCACTGGTAGATGGAGTGATCAATCTGCCATTATTCTGGAATCGTTGAGTCGAATGGTCTAAATCGCAATTATGTTGATTTTGAGAGAATAAACATTTTTTGTTATATTTAAATATTTATAAATATTTCTGAATAGAAATAACCACAATATCACAATACCACAATATATGGTAAACTAATATGATTACCTATAGATTCTCACGAAAAATAGTTGCACGCGATTGATAGGTTGCCATAAGCTTTCTACGTATTAAATTCTCAGAATAGCGTTACTCTATATGTATATTATATGCGCGATACAAGTTTCTGTGGTTGCAGCTTTAATTCTTTACGCCAGGGCTAGTAGGAATAAAGAATTGTGGATGTTGAGAGTTTTGTATGAGATATTCTATAAGAAATCAAGTTGAAGCCGGCTGAGGCTCCGACTACGCTTGACGACCAATATCGGCCACTATAAAGTATTTGTGTGGACATACTTTATATAAATAGATATTTTTTTTATTGGTTTCCGATAATTTTTTTTGTTACTATGTTGTTGTGTCAGCCAGTGATTTAGGTCCGTCGATAGGCGACTGGAGTAACTTTTACGCCATAGTTAGGCAGCAGTATGACGAATTCGCCATAATTTGAAGACGTAACCCGGCTTGAACCGAATGTGGATATCTTTGTTGTTTGTTTCACCGCCAAGGATCTTTCGAGCTGTGTATAAAGGTTTGGATATGGCTGTCTTGTGGCTGTCTCAGTGTGGCGACTTTTAATAAAGTGCGACCAGTTCTTGGCTTTACGGGCTTGGCGCAAAATCAACTTATTAAACGAAACGTCCATAAACTGTATGTCTTCGCACAATTTATGGACGGTCTGAGCTGTTAAACGCAGAAAGTCGAAACCTGTAATATGGGAAATTGCTCACAAAATCTGGACGTGATTTAGGAAAATAAAATCGCTCGGAAGGTCCATACTAACTCCGTGTCTACCTTCTAATTCAATCAAATATACCTCCTACCAATAGTAGATACTCTTACTTTCATATTGTTGACTTATGTACTAACTATATATAATTACCGACAGCCGAAAATGAATAGCTAACTAGAAAAGATGAGGGTTTGTTGTTGTGATGAGGGCTCCACGTTAAATACTAGGTATTCCGGGGAACTATGTTAAATCTAATTATCTGTGCCAATAATTACTCGAGCTCTTCTCAGTGATTAATAAACAAATAAAGAACGAACAAAAAATACACAAAAACAGTATTAACTAACCAGTAATATTAGTAATAACTAGTAGTAATAGTCTAACAATATTAACTAACAGCATTTGCAAAAATCCCGTTCCTGTTCCTTCTCAGGTTTGATCTTATTATATGTACTTGTGCGAGATAGTATTATTGGATCTAAACCTCGATTAACTGTGTATATTATAAACCTTTCTGTACGGAAAACTTTATAATTTTATAAAGTAGAATTATCCGGGTTGCAGTCTTTCGGTGGCAAAATTTTAATTAGATTTTCAATATGCGAACGCATTCTATATGATTCGCAAATGCTAGGGTAATCTATTCGAAACTATTATATAATAGATGCATAATACTACACGATTTCACTACACCTACGTCCAGGAATTCGAGCCGGTACAAATAATCAGTTGGTCTATAGAAACAAACTATACACAGTTCTTAAGCACACTAGAGAAGTTTATTAAGGAACCTCGTTCCACCACAAACATTAGTGGCTGCAAAAAGTATATTAAAACCGTGGAGTTTTGACACCAGTCGTAGTGCCGCAAGTTCACCGAAGGTTGCTCCACCAATAAAGTACACGAGAATTGTTCGTGGTCGAGCTCCGGCACCAGTTAGATCGCCCGATGATGGCGTTCCCCCGAAAGATCGTTTAGTACTCAATTCTTCCGTTGAGAGCGATCCAACGCCTGGGGACAGAGTAAACACGTCATTCAAAAGTTAGTGATTTTAGTAGTTTAACGGGTTTACAGCTACCCTTATCGAAATCTGCAATTTATATAGAGAGGCTTTCAATATTTTCAGTCAATAAACATTATTCTGAATGACTATTTTTCCGTCACAGCTTTGACAAGTGCTTTCTTGTTCACTTTCATTCGCAGAAGACCTATTACAACAGCGTATTTTAGTTTTCCGATAAAACAAAATATGTTTAGGTGATCAGTTACAATAACTGTGCAATACGACACAAGTCATAATGAAGATTTCTAGGTGTTTTCGAAGCTCCTCGCAAAAATCCCTTTTTGAAAAGACCTTCAGACGTTTATGTAGCAGCTGTCTGCTTGATGGACGACTAACTCTATGATGACATCTGCGCATCCAAACAATGAGTTCAACCTACCGCTAATTTTAGCAAAGTTGTCAAGTGTTCCTTGGTAGGCAGCTTCTACCAGTTTGACAACCAATGGGACGTAGAGGTCATTGAAAACGAAGCCAGCGCTATGCGTACGCCCTCCATTTCCGCCAACGCCCGATGCCGTCGACGACGACAGGCCTAGGCGACGTGCACGAACGATGAAAGCTGACTCCTTTAGGCCAAGTAAGCTTGCACTGGATGCCATTTTACTAATCATTGAACCACTCTAAAAATCAAACAAAATTTTAGATATTTAGGGGCATAATACCTATAATCGAGCATATTTCTATATATGGCAGTAACACTGAATAAACACAACAAAACATGAATTTTTGTTACATTTCTAAAGACCATATAATACATGCGCTAATTATACGCTCACTTTGCTTTGGGCTGTGCTAATAACCGGCGCAGCCTCATGCAGGATCCCTAGCTTTTCTAGTGCCTGCAGCACGCCAAGGTAATGAAACCCAAACTGATGCAGAAAAGCCGTGCGTAGCGGTTTCAACTGTCCTAAAGGAATTCCGTCATTAGCCAAAGAAAGCAGGCACAGTAGGCGAAGGCAGACTTCCCACGATTTACCACTGGAATAGTGACAGAATAACCTACGATAAACATAACGCTCTATTTTAAAATATACGCAAATGTAGAAGTGTGTCAGTAGATGGATCATGTAAATGAAATAAATTAACTTCGGTTCAAACCCCGCAAGCGTACGCAGGGACCGAAGTAGGCTTTAAACCTGTTCGTTTGCTAATATAGCTCATTCACATTTTTATTTTCATATTACATAACAAAATGTTAATTTCAGATGAAGTCGTAAACCTAAAACAATCCGTTCCAAATTTTGAAGCGTTTAAAGTCGACGGGGTGCACGAAACTCAAAACTTACGAAAATGCTCACACACAAGATAAACCAAATATTTATCTTATCTAGAAAAGTCAACAGATTGTCAAAGTAAAAAAGCGTACGTTTCTTATCGTTATCGTTGGTTAAGATAAAGCGGTCATCAACTAATAGATACTGGTTGCACTTGCCGGGTACGTAGATTGATTTATTAATCGGATTCATACGTGAGCTGCAAGAACAGTCGTATTACAATTGCAGCATTTACTCTCTACCTTTAAATAAATTGCAGTGTGTACTTTTCCAAAAAAAGATACAATGAAAATAACTAACCTACAAATTGATTCTTTGATCATCTCGATTGATTGCTTCATTTCTACCCCCTGCAACAGATTTTGCTCCACGGCACGAACGACGTCGAAGTCCTAACGATAGACAGATTCACTCAAGGATAAGTAAACATTAATATATAGTATAGAGCATGATAAATATAAGTCCTAATGATTAACTAGGTAAATAAACCTGTCAGCAGAGTAACTACCGCACCAGAATCTCACTAATCAAAGCAGACGTATGCTTTTCTACCCGAATCTAGAATAGCACCTCTCTTACTGGTGCAGATTAACAATCCTCGTAGCCCGCTAGGCTTGTTTAAGGTATTGTGTCAAACACTAGATGTAATGCAACTACTTGTGCTGACTGAAATCTACCAGATAGAGCACCCCTCAAATAGTGCTTGTGTTTCAACATAGATCAGAAAACATTCTTGTACCAGATTATCAACAGTGGGTTATATCAGTCTAGGGCAATATTCTAAAGTGAATCATGTGATTGGAAATGGAACAAGAAACTGATGCATGTTACTTAGTTTCCGCATATACACATACTGCACGATTTCTATATAGTACAATGAAAAAGAAACGAGTTTGCTAAACAAAAGGTTATGTTTACCTATAAAGTTATTATACTTTATAAAGTCCTTATCTTAGCAAATCCCTGCATCGTTGATTACAGAACTTACCTGTCCTCTTTTTCGGGAGATTTCTTCGCAGACACTTATATGGAGCGCCAATGAATTTCGAAGCTTTGTTATAGCTTTTACTTCAACATTAACAAAGTGCTTCATAGCTGAAACGGAATAGAGGAAAGCCACAACACATGGTTGATTGTCTAAACATTTTTCTTTTTTGCGCCTTTATAGACTTTAGGATATCAAGAATTGAGAAAATGCCTCGCTTGAGGGTTTTACTTTTCTAAATTACCGAAAGGTGCAGATTATAACGTTTTTGGCCTTTAAAAAAGAACTTAGGGTATATCAAAGGAAAAAATACAGCACCTGGGCATTTCGATATGAAAAGTTACACCAGACGCTATAAAATCATAACCTGCAACCGTTTTTTCTTCAAACCTGAAAACTGCTTACTGCGTACATTTCCAGTGTGAACCACTGTTTCTTCCTGCTGTTAGCTTATATATATATATCGCTAAGGTACCGAAAAATTCAGCAGATATATCTCTACAGGTAGATCTAAGATATATCTGCTGAATTTTTCGGTAGCTTAACAACAATATGACCGTCGTAATTGCGATTCGAAATCTTCGAAAGACAGTCGAGCGACTACTGCTTACCCGAAATAGACTGGGGAGTACTAACGTCGCTCTTGGAAATCAACTTTTTGCTCTCATTACTGAGAACGCCGAACGCTGCCGACACGTGTTTGTCTTTAATTGCCGCAAACGTGTCGCAGGGGTCGCGCAGCTTCACTTGCCGCTCCTCTTTTCGAGTCACCGTCCTGGGAATGATACATTTCCCTTTTTCTATGCCTAAAACGGGCATTTTGATAATATCATGGTATATTGTAGTCTCAACTTGCTCCTTATATGCAATTTACAGATATACCGATAATGAACGCGTATTTTCCTTTAAACATTACTGTAGTTTTACTTTGAAAGTGTTCACTACATACCAAAAAGATCGTCAAGAATGGCTGTGTAAGTCATTTGGGTAGCCATTAAAGATGCTAAATCAATGTCCCTGTCAAACAGGATCAGCTGGTCTATGACAAACTTTTGAGAGGATGGTCCATGGCTCCATCGTGACGTCCGCCATTGCCGCCGAACGGAGTGGCTTTGTTCCCCTGGAAAACGTTACACAATTGGCGTTTAAACCAGGGCAAGTTTCGTTTCGGTGATTGACAAGCTCGAATTATTCATGTCGATCCCCTGGGATCTGCCAGTAGGGGGTCTTGACGGCCAAGGTAGCTACCTACTATGGTGTGTTAGTGAAGAGTATGAACTGTGTTACTCTTACCTAATGTAGTAACATGGAGGATTTTAGCGAATTCCTCCATCTGGCAAAGTGACATGGTTACTGAAGTCAGTGGACTTGAATCACTGTGCAAGAACACGTCTTTAAAGAACGAGTCTTCTTCAAGTGATGCGACGTCCTCGTCCACGAGAATCAACGTAACCTTTTAAATAATCAATGAAAATAAAATAATTTGCGACATTATCTTGATTCAGTCCACCTAGCGATTCATATCAGCCTATCCTGCCGTGTCCACTTTTGGTAAGTGGTGCTCTTAAATGACGCTTTAAAAAAACTTCAATTCCGTATGGTAGTCAGCTAGCTATTGCCCTAAACGGACATGTTGAACTTACCGGAAGTGAGATAAGGTTAATTAGCCCAAAAACGCCTTCTGCTTCAATCAAGGTAGAACAAACAGCTGTCAAGCGTGGGAGCGCTAGGAGGTAGAACTCACGATTGTGGGCATTACTAGATAATACTGTGCACACCTGGAAAAATAGCCAACAACAACTACTGCTTGTGACTAGTCAGTTGTCCGTTGACAGAGCTTGTCAGGCATAGATCTAGCAAAACAAACAGTTGGCCAACTGTTTACCAATTGAAATGACATCTTACTAGCGACACCCTATATACGCAGTACAATATACGGATGATGTACTCTTACCTGTTTTATTGACGAAAGTTTGCTTTTAACAATGAATACGCACTTCCTAGACGAATTTGGTGGTAGCGCTGATTCTAGTTTAAAGATCTTGGCCACACCGGTAGCCTGTAGCTTTGTAATGCTTGCGATACTATCCATACACTTGATGAGAGATGTCTCTATAAGAAGATCCTGGAATATGGACGCAAGTAGTAGGCGCAATTCATCAAAACTCTTAGTATACGCACGCGTAATTCATAAATCAAAAACACACGTAACATTTGGAGCTTAATTGGATTTCCATCACTAGTGGATTTCGTTCTTTCTAAATAGGGTTATTGCTCCGTGATCCTTGACGTTGTTGTCTTTATGTATTAATATAGATCAACATAGAGACATCATCCGCTGCAGAGTACACTTTTGAATGTTGCGATATGAGCGTTCATTTAGTGCTACACTATCATTTGCAATTGAATATGATGTAAGTAAAAAGAAAAATTAGAAGTATCACAGTGCTTACCTTAGGACCAACAATACTTTCCAGAGTCTTCAACAAGGCAGTTTCTGCATAATGTTGAATATAGTCGCACATTGAGGATGCCGTCATGATTTGTTTTGAAATCCGTGTACAGCCAATAACTAGCCCAATAGCTAGCACGATGATGTAGCTAGCAAAATACTTAGCATTGACTTCCCATCTGTTCCACTGATAAAGTGTTTTGTACAGTTTTATATTACCAGTACTGCATGCATGTATACGCGTATGTCCACACCTAACAACATCTTCCAGGTTTAACCGGTTTCAACTATTTGGTGCACAGTAACCCAGCCGTGCGGTGTCAATAAAATCGTCATTCGAAACAACATGAATGAAGGCACAGATCAATGACGTAGAGCTTTATATATATACATGTATATACTTCACTGAAGTAGTCGGAGCAACTGTGAACTCAGAGGGCCATACTACTGCTCGTAGAACAGCATATGTTGTGTGCATGGAGCTAAACAAATACAAAGCATATTGTTCGAAGTTGTTCAGTTCCATAACATTGCATCGACATGGCAGCAGGGGAAAGGTAAGAGTCGCACCAAATTCAGCGAGAACGAACTGTACGAACTGTAGCTATGGAAGATGGTTTCTCGTTCACCAACAGCTGTTTGATTCCCGCGTGCAAGAGTTCAGGTTAATGGAATTGAGCGCGTTGAGCCGCTGCGATGGCCGCTAAATTTGATTTGATGGATTTGATGGTATGGAGATGGAGTCGCTTCACTAACTGGCTGTAGACAGCGCGGAGCAAGGCCGAATAGTAATTTTAAGTATACGATTCAGTAATTTGGAAAATAAATTAATCACACTGTTATGTGTTTTTCGGATAGTGTAGAAACTTGGCACTTCTTTCCTTCTTGAAAATGTGAAACAGGCAAAACCTAAATCAAAAATTTAAGTGACAAAGTAATCTAGTGTTGCTAGCAAACCTGGCAGCAGACAAGGCCAACCTGCACGTAATTTTTCTTAAAAAAGTACGTTTCCTTAATTTATCGATGTTCGGACTAAAATAAGCTTAATTATATTACGATATCATTCATCTTATGTACTTCCATCAGAAAGATGTACAGGTGGTATTCAAATCCCACACACCACTCAACAGATTCTATGGAGTGTCGCTTCACGTGTCGGTGCCGCGCGTGAACGCGAACAGATTTCGAACGATACAGAGTAAATTTATTAACTTGATTGTGTATACCGTGTTCCAATTTGAGTTTCGCTACACTATCTTCTGTGAATAACGTAAGTTCTGATGAATTCGCTAATATGAAAAAATATGCAGCCGTCATATGCGAAGACAAACAGTGCGGACAGAATAAGAGTAACGAGATAAAATTATTTAAATTGATTCAGTTTCTTGAGCTTAACTTATAATCTGCAACTAATACGGTTTATTATATGTAGATTTTTATTATCGATAATTTGTCATTCAGTCGTTTAAAATTAAACATGCTTTTGACAAAAAATGGAACAGCAACTTCGACATGAAGTACATTAATCACTGTAGATTGATTTGCAGTGTTCCTGAATGCAGAATGACGGCTGTGCTATACGGCGCTCCCGACGTGGTGTGGTATGAACCTGGGGCTATTTCGGTTGCGACTTCGGGGCTAATCGCATTGACAACTGGAGCAAGTGTTTTGTTTGCAATATTGGATGATGGTGCACCGGCTCGGAATAATGTTCAGGTGGTCATGTTTACATAGCATTTATTTAAACAAAGCAGCATTGAAGAACCATCAAAATCTAAAGATTGTTTGCTAACACATTCCACAAAAAAACTATGTTAAATTTACGCTAATCACAGATTAAAAATTTCGTCATCTTACGTCAGGTTACTGCACATTTACAGGAAAAAGGGGCAAATTTTGATACTATGGAACGAAAAGCAGCTAGTGAAGATAGGGAACAAGCTTCATCCATGCGTTCGAATAGTGTTAGCGGAAGAGCCAGGTATGTGACCATGTATTATATTAGGTAGTATTCCCAGTCCTTGTTCGTCTATCGGGAAGCTTAGAATATTTGCTACCTGGTTGGTGGTATTTATTTAAGGAAGATGTTATTTTTTTCACTGTACTAACGATAAGTTCGATCCATCGGCCTGTTGCTTCATCTAGTATAATCTAAGCCACTATGAAATTCTCCCCAATACTCATCAAATACATTTATATGGTCCCGTGATAGCGTAGTAGGCGACGTGTTTACCTGTTAAATTTAAGGACATGTGGGGGTCTAGTTCGAATAGGGCATAGACATATTTACGAGGCTTTGTGCTGAAAGCCGGTTAGTCGAAGTAATACTCAACAGCTGAAGTAACGGACGTAAAACGCGAAAAACATTTTTCGATACATTGATATACCTGTCTCTTAAATATTATTAAACTCTCCTTCAAACAGGCTGGTGTTTCTGAAAAAACTCAATGTTCATCCAGAAAAATGTCGCGCAGTGCAGTTTTCACCAGAGAAACTTCCTAGCCGGGAGCGGGTTGCCCTCCTCCTAGAACCTTCAACTGTAAAGGTATTATTGAGTTTAACCAGTTTTGTAGTGCGGTTACGAGAAAAACATAATGAAGAATAACCTATAACTCTGGTTTAGAGCGTTAAAAACAGCTAGGTAATGCCTTTATTCAACCTTGGACAACGATTGCCGAAAGCAGAAATTGTTTTGATTTCCAAGTGTTTAACGACTTATTTCTTAGCTGTACTCTGCCATGAATGATTCGCTCGGCTATCATAAGATGTAGCATTGACAAACTCAAACGCATATAGGTAAATTTATATTTAAATAGACACAATTGTGTTTATGATCAACGTATTCGCAATATTTCGATAGCAGTAGCGAATTAACGTGGCAAACAAGAAATCACTTTTATTAATTTTTTAATTACTATCGTACATAACTGACATTTATATATTGTGGCTATTTGTCAGGTGATTGATTATCCAACGATGGAGGTAATCTGGAATGAGGAGTTCCCATCAACTGCGCCGATTAAAGCAATACGTTTCCTAAATGATCGACCACAGTGTTTGGCCCTGGGATTTGCGTCGGCTGATCTGATCGTTGTAAATTTGGCCAACAAAAAAGTACAGAAAAGCGGACGTCTTCTAGTGAAAAACGTGCAGGTATGTTCTATTATGCTCTTAATAATGAATGCTTTTTACGCCAGTTCTACCGTGAAGTTCGTAGGCCTAGTAACCTAAGAAACGACGTACATGCATTGCCTAGTTCTTCTCAGCATTTTGCCAGTTTTGAACTTACTAAGTTCAAAACTGGCAACAGAGCAATTATGTTTTGTCATCTATTGTGTTCTTTCGAAGTCTTAGTTGATAGACCTGACTCAATTCAGAACGAATAAATTATAACAGCTCTAGTATGCAGGAGGAACTTCAGGATATGGACGTTTCTAATGGACAAGCAGTATTGGGCTGTTCGAAAGGCACAGCCGCCGTTGTCGATCTCCACACGTGGAAGGTATGTCTTCTTGTTTTGGGTCTTTAATTCATACTAGTAGCCCCTATAACATTTCAATAAGCTTACCTTATAGTTGTCTTTTCGACGGAAGATCAATAATCATCACAAGCTACATTTGAGTATATACTCTGTCCAAGCCGTCGGCTAAGGCAGAATAGAAATTCTTTTATTTCATGTTACTTATCGAAGGAGACAGTCATTAGACTAGGTGAAGTTATTGCAAAAAAATCGTCAACCAGGCAAAATGTAATTTTCACTAGAGAGAATTCTAATTTTAGAAATTCTAAAATTGGAAAAATAAAAATGAACTCCCGGTAGTAGGTAAATTGACTCTTTAAACATAGCTGCTCACCATGTATAGCCTTTCATCTAAGTTTATTTGGATTTAGATTAGTGCGTACAAGCCACTGCTCTTAAGTTAGTTGCTGTTGTCTTATTGGTTGAAAAATTAATTTGAAGGTGTTAGTTAAATGCAAGGTATCAGGCCAAATTCGTGCAGTTAAATGGAACCCTACCGGTGATGTCGCCGCTGTAATGGCCGTAGGAGAAAAGGGCCCGTTATTCATTAGCGATACCAGCCAACAGGCTAATTCCTACATTGTTCCTCTGTGTGGCAAAGGTTTGCAGGATTACCGTCATAGACAATTGGTTTTTTCTCATTGTGGTCGTTGACTTAAACAAGAAGTTGGTATGTTACGTATAATATCATACAGGTATTTTTGTTACATCCAGAAATTACATATGTTACCTCGAATTTCTCGATAAAATATAAATATATGAAACTTTATAAAATTTGAACTAAACAATTTTAATTAATCGTTAAGAATATGCACTCTTTGTGTACGATAACGAGTAACACGGTAACCTATGCGTACAAGCTAAGTTATGCTAAGTTAGCTAAGTTATTAGCTAGTAATTAGGTAGCTTGTTATTTTCCAGCGACTCGTGTGCCGTACACTGATAAGGCTCTACAAAGTGTTAGTGTGTGCTGGATAGAGGATAAAATAGTCGTGTCGGTCCCGTCCGGAACACTGTGTTTCGGCAAATTCAAAGGAAAGAATACTAAGCTCGAGCCGATACATCAAGAGGTTTGTTAACGAACCACATTTATCTCACCGTTTTTCCATTTGCAATTGCTATCGTAATTTGGAACCAGTACTGGCAGCCTCTGATCATTTTACATGTATGTACATTTACATGTATTACATTTAAATAATGATATAAAAAAGCGGGATCCATTCGATTCCATAATAATAGCACTATTTGTTTAGCCACTCAATTTCACTTGTTTTATTGTATCTGATATAATCATTGATCGCTTCTCCACCGTTAGCTCCTGTCGAAATCTATTTGCGCCCTCTGCCCGGTCGCGCCAAACATTGTCCTCACAAGTGGAATTGATCGTGTATTAGCCTTATGGGACCTTACCGCCGAGCGCCAAACTCTTCTTCGTTGCCATGCAGGATTGGCGGGATTCGTATACAACATGGCCTTTCATCCAGCCGGTACTGGTGTCCTAGGAATCGCGACCGGCAACGGAAGCGTATGTTGTACAACTATATAGATAAGAAAAACTTTTGATTAGTTTCCTGTTGTAGTCGATTCAAATCGAATCTTCCCAAAATGTATATGAGCATTATACTTTTTAACTAATACACCTAAAAGCTACGTAAGTGGGTGCTATTTTATTTTGCACTTGCAGGTGTTACTCGCGAAAACCGACCAAGGTACTTTGGAACAGGTCGGGAAACATTTACAATTGCGTTCACGCGTTTACAGTATTGCCTGGCACCCGACAAATGAAATGCAGTTGGCTGTGGGTACTCAGGATGGAGAGGTTGGTTCCATGATGCGATATATGTTAGTTCCTATTTCACTAGGTATAGAGGGGCAATTTATGTGCCGAAAGAACATTTTCATTTAGATGCTCTTTCCATCTTGATCAAACGCTGTTTCGGTTTTCAATCTTAGGCATTCATACATTTAACAAATCCGGAAATTCCGTGTAGGATCATCAGGCGCAACATATCACTGCATATACAATTCCGCCTCTTAGTTGTTTGAAACCATCGTTTACGAGGGAACTACTACGATGCTTTTGATATCTGAGAAGGAATTTAGCAGTGTAAGTGCAGAACAGTTGTTCCCTTCTTATATAATTTTACTTTCGTCCATAAGACGGGAGACTGATATTATTGTATTTCTATAATAATATATTATTATTTATTATATATTTGTTCATTTCGCTCAAGGCGTTTGTTTCCGTTTCGTACTAACGTTACGTTGTACTGCTTCCGTTTCACTGGCCAGGTACTAGTGTTCGATGTGTCCCCACACAAGACAAACGTATCTCGTTTTCGGACAAATAAACGCGTTGGAGTCGGCTCAATAGTGTTTGCCTCACTGCCTTTGGTCAGCGAATGGCCGCTTCTCTTGGCAACCGATGGAACTCATGCGTATTTCTCGAAGGAGAAAGAAGAGGTCCTGCGCAAGTTCAATTCCATGGTCCCGGGTATTGAAAACCACAAGGTAGTTAAAAGCGAGTAGGCATTGGCAGGCATGAATGTTCACTCAAAAATTCAGAAACAAGTTTCAGTATAGCCTTCAGTAACTTTCCGCATCTGATGTGGGATTCCGAATGTGTTTCCAATTTCTATATGACTCTTTGCTTGTATATCGTATTCATATTGTTGTATATATGAAGATTAACGGTTAGTAACATAATATATGCTATTGATCTTGTTGCAGATAGGGTGTGTGTCTCACGTTCCGCAAAAAAATTTGATTTTGTTCGGGACTTATCAGGGAAAGCTTATTGCTCTCGACTCGTCTTCGTTACGAATTGCGGCGGAAACTCGCATAGAAAAGCACGCCGTCACTGGGGTAGGCAGATATATTAATAGTTTAAATGAGTAGATTTTTTTCATGTTTCAGCTCAAGGATTTTAATGTTATGGAAAAGGATACATTGGAACTTTTTTTTTCTTTGTCAGACTTCACGTCTAAAATAAGAAGTCGCTCATTATCCAGTAGATCCAGCAGTGTAGGACCGTCAGTCTATTTATAGCAATCTGATAGCAGTCTGCACATTCTCCCATGCTAAAAAATAGCCGATTTTATCTAATAAATAAAACATGTTTTAAACATTGTCATTAAAATATTTAATAATTGTAGCATGGCATGGTGGCTATAAACTATACAATGGTTACTAGTAACATGATTTTTGAAGTAAGTACAAATGGAACATTTTGCGAAACAACTGCGATATTCTATAGTTCTGTATCCGATGAACCGCTTGAAAGAGCATGCCCACCGGTTTTGTGAAATATACCCAGATCACCCGTATTTAACCGTATTTTTAATTGACGTTTAGTTGGCTGTGTCTCCATGTGGCAAGAAGGTAGCAGCTGTATTTAGTACCAGCTATTTTACTCTGTTTGACACGGATCAGCTATGTAGCCGGTTTGGCGATGGCCAGCCCTCTCAACCGGTTGAGCCCAAGTACCGAATAACTGACCATTCCTGCACAGCGTTCTGTTGGAATCCATATGACGAAAATGTGTTCGCAATCGGTGGAAACAAGGGAGAAGTTAAGGCAAGTTTGAAAGATAACTTTGACGTTATATGTAATGCAAAGCTGCGCAACTACTGGCGATTTTTTACGGTGTAAGGGGTGTTTTTATCTTTAGTGCTATTCATTCTACTATTCAATTTGCAGTTGTGGAATCTACGTTCTGGCAGTTTACAACGCGTGTTTCATGGTGTAGCCGGAAATAAGACAATTCTTGCTATGTGCTGGAGTCCCATTGCAGAAAATCGAGTGTATCTTGGGACCAATGGCAACACATTATACCAACTCGATATGGACGAATGCGAAGATAAAGAGTCTACCAATTGTTCTACTGAAGTAGACTTAATTGCTCATAAAATTGCGTCAAGTGAGTAACACAAGTCAGCTTCTATTATACTGAACTTTTTTTGGCAAAATTAGTGTAAATTGCGAAGATATAGACCAAATTGTTAACGGACGAGAAGAGGTCTCCGCAAGAAAGAGTGCAAGCTACGTCTAAACATACACAGTCATTTAAGTTCTAATCAGTGTTTCTCCCTGGCTCTAAAGCTCGCTCAGGTTCAGCTAAAAGCTCGAAAAAGGCGTCACTATTTTCATCGTCGAGTAATTCTGAAAACATACCTAAGGCGGAGGCATTGGAAGACCTATTGGTGCTACTGAGGTAAGTGTTCTCGCTTTTTTTTCGCAGTTAAGTTCCGTAGCGGGCACACTTACCCCTTATCGAATACATCCGGCATACCGCTCTATAACTGCCAATTCTGACAGTTTTGTCGTTATCAACTGTTTATACTTGCAGTTGCGAGGAAAACGGTAACTTCTCGCCTCTCAAGAACAAGCCCCATATGGGTTTTTTCCATACAGATCTTATTCAGGTTGGTTCACAATTACTAAGGTAAGATGCAAAAGAAATTCATTTGAGTTTGTTGATGAAGCTTGAAGTTTTGACAACGTCTAAACAACATTGTAGATTGGGCACTTAAGTGGTCATCTCATTGACTCATGTCATTTGATTCAAGTAGATACCAGCTTTTTGGAAGAGTAGCTCACTAAAAATATTGAGCCTACAGTTAGAAACCCGGGTACTTTCTCTTTTTCTTCTGAAACAGAGGAATAATTGTTCCATATTTTAATAAGGCCGTAATAAAACCAGCGCTAAAAATGGTCCTGATGCATTTATTTCAAACAACTTGTTAAGAAAGCTTGTAATCTTTCAGCTTTTTATTTTCAGAAACTTTTTGAACTTCGCGCGCTTTGACATAATTTAGTCCAAAAATGTACTGGTTCTCCTGCCAGATTAACGATAGTTAATGCCGCATATTCGTTTCGGTATTAAAAGCGGTGTCAACACTCAGTCCTGGTTGTGAAGTGCCTAGTGAACAATAGTATAAGGGTTGTGAAACTGCTATCTTGAATCGAGTTCCAGTACCGCAGTAGACACCAATATATTGTGGCTTATTTACCTAACCTTGGTACCAACAATTATTAACCGAATAAAATAAGGTTTTATATATGTCATAAAAAAATCTGACTTAACAGTATCGACAACATTAAGGATATAACTGCATTCAATTAATTTTATTCACCGTGTATCGCTAACCAATGTGATGGGTTAGGTTATTATTACCTCTTTCGTTAATTTTTTTGCTTGTTAATAGCCGTCCATTATGTGCCGTCAGAAAGATTTTTTGCTTTTTAATTCTAGTGACATTATTTTATCTAGATCACAGACTTTCAGCTTGAGCTTGATTTACTAAGTAGGTAAGCCGTTTTTACTCAAATACGAATTTCGAATGCTTTGTCAAATGTATATGCTATATTTAACGAAAGAAATAGGATAGCAAAGAACGCCCAGGATTTGAGAAAAAAAAAAGGAAAAACTACAAAAGAGAAAGAAAAAATGAATATGGTGTAGATCTTCTGTGTTTATCATTGATTTGCTTTTAATATTTTTGCATTCGTTATCTTTTGGTTACTTTTCAATTTCACATTTTCTGTGTGCAACTTATTTAGGTTTTTCAAATTAGCTTTCAGTTGATTTCTTGATTGCATCTTTTTAATCGGTTTCGATTTGTTACCTTATATTATCACATATTTTACCTTTAGATATAGTTTTTCTTCTATGATGATGTCTACCTCGCAAATTTTAGTGTACAAGAAGAACCAATTTAAGGTTCGAGTTCAAGATCTAATTTTGTGACCTGAATAAAACAATGATAATGGTTCGAAGAGCAAAAAAGAGGCTTTTCAACGAAATATAACATTTGATCTTCAGCAAGTGAAGAACTGAAGAACGAATACAACAAACAAGAAATGCCATGCTTTTACACCAGGCTAATACCTTAATGTATGTACTTGTATGTTTCTTAGAATACATTAACTAACGAGGCGGAACAGCATTGCGTGAAAATGAACAACGATCTGGCTCTTCAAGTTCTATTAACAGGTGCTGCTCATAATATTATTTTATATCATTCGATGTTATTTTAATTCAAAGAAGTTATTTCGATGCACATTTTGCAATTGCAAATGTCTGACAGTCAAAATTACATATTACAGCTCTACTATGTTTCCGTCGTTTCTTTTGTTGCTTTAGGTGGAAACATCCGAGAAACAGTGGAGTTTGCAAAAGAACGCAAACAGCTTGACCAGAAACTTGTTACTTTAAGCGTTTTCGTCTCTAAGGAGTACTTCGACGAGGTTCGCATTTTGGGAATAATCCATTGAAAGCCGTTTCTTTTGTCCAACCGATACGAACACTTATTCTGATACTTTGCTCAAGCTTGTTCGACGTCCTTTTGTTGCAGACGGTATCGGCGTTGATCGATCAAAATAAAGAGAGCGATATTCTTTCCGTTTTGCCGCTCATGGTAGCTACCGGTCGCACCGAAGAGCTATTACAGCTATTATGTGCACGAAATTTCCATAAGGAAGCGGCCGCAGTTGGGTTAACTACATTGACAAGAGATCATCCTGCCGTTAAGGTAAGTTCGTGTTGTATGCACCACTTTGCGGTAGACAAAATAATTGCACCGATTTCCTTTCCAATAAAATCCAAGAACTAAGTAGAGACATTGTGGTTTTGCCAATATGCCGTAGATAATAAGCGCTAGCTGATCATATCAAGTGCTAGTTCAGAGGTACGAATTTCGGCCTCAAGCTGTTTGCCTTTTCTACAGAATCAGTTGCATATATATCTGATAATTGCAGAATGTATATACATCGTGGGCCTCTCGTTATATTGAGGCCGCTCAGTATGAACGAGCTGCAAGGTGTTATCTTGCGGCAGAGGAAAAGGAAAAGGTGGTTGACGTTTTGACCCTTTATCACGACGCTGGATCAGCATCGACGGCTGCTATTTGCGCCAAAAGGTCAGGGACACCGTCTAGATTAGTAGTAAAGTATTTACTTTCTAAACTGAAGGACACGTTGTAGTTTAGGTTTGAAACCGGATATAGATACACTTCGTTTTGAGCTAAAGGTCAGCTTTATAAGGCAATAATTAACAATAGTACCGGACGTAAAAACTTAGCTAACTTTAGTTAATATTTCAACTTAGTGCTAGTTATTAATTACAGATTCGGTCTCCCAAGCGAACTTCTTCTACTGAAGGCTGTTCGTAACCTGTTGGCTTCAGTAGAAAGTTTGCCGTGGCTGTCGAGATTAGCTGAAGAATTTAAAGTGACTGCATTAGATGGTCTTAGTACACTGGCCCAAGCTGTACGGGTACGTCTAATAAATTATCTTGAAATGGACTATACAATTCGATATCACATCATAGCAATTGTCTGATTCATGATTTCAACGTGGTGTTTACTTAACCTTGATAATTTTGCTTATACAATACGATGTTTAGGTATAGACAGATAGACAAGGTAAGTTAAGCTGTGAATTTAATGAGTCTAAATTGGAGACTCATTTAAAATACTAATATAGAACTTTGTTTTTATTATTTTTATCAAGATACTGTCTTTTGTAAAATTACTTGTTATGGTATTTTCTTTTTGCGGTCACATTCAGTTTTTCGGATGATTTTGGGGAGCCTCTGACGATGTGGATGTGGTTTGTTTATAGTCGATTTTATTTTTAAGCAGTGAACTTCTTGATGATGTTCTGACTGCAAAAATGGTCTCGTACATTTTCATCCATTCGCTTTACGTTTCTAGTCTATGTGGTCTATCCTTTCGATACGTGACGTTTCGAATTCGTTCTTACATTACCCCACCGGAGCAGTTCCGATATACTCTAAAACCTAACGCCAATACAACCTAGCCAATGGCTAAATGTTATGTGATTTGCCCACATTTTTATTTGCTTTGTCGGTCTTCACCTCTTTCGCAAAAGAGAAGAGATATAGCAGCGTTAGGAATTTTATTTTTGAAAATAGCTTTAAAAAAATCGGCGCGTATCATCGTTTATTCGAATTTTCTCCCGATTTTCATAGAATAATATATTAGTGTGGGTTTAAATTTTGCCAGAGAGTAACGCATTATGGAACAGATACTGTAGACTAGGTTAGGAGTCTTAGACGCAAGACCTCGTTAATGGACCAGTTTAGAATATGGATAGTCTCAACCTTCTTTATTAAGAGGAGTGGCTTTTTACATATTCTCAAATTGTGTTCTGTTGGACGTGCTCTATGCAGCTGCATTCTGTCATTTTTCGTTATTCCAGAAAAAACATTTATGACAAAAGCTATTTTTTTGTTCTAAAAATACACGAGAAGTTTCAGTAATATAAAATACGTGTTCAAGACGACCACTCATACCCACATGGCACAGTTTGTACTACGATAAACTTGTGGATCTACACTATATCTACCATTAGGCTATTTTTTTTTGCTTAATATTTGTATAATTTAATTGTATAGTTTTGTTCATATCAAATTGTACAATTTTATATTTTTGTTTAATAAAATTTTTTGGTTTATTATTCATGCGGTTTACCTCCTATTTATTCTTATCTGCTTTGCCAAATCTTTTTCTGCTCCCATCTGTTAAATTGTGCTTAAATTACGTTATCAATAGAAGGATAACACCTTTTGTACATTATTTTGCAAACATAGGAATGAGCGATATTCCTCTAACTAATGAATGTAATGAAACTTCACTTACCATTATGCAAGATGCACACTATCATTTTCTGTAACCTTTTGCACTAGCTTCCTTTAGCTACATGCTTCCCACTTACATAGTTTACGTTGCAGTCCTTTTATCAGAATACGAAGCCGAGCGAAGAATTAAGTGGAGAACCATTTCTAGTTCCCGTCGAGTCCCTCGACAAACTCATCAAACCATGTCTGCCCTTGTTTACTCAAGATGATTTGGAGTTCGTGAACAAGCTCTTGGAAGGTGTCCCGTTGATTCGCACAACCGATGAGCTTCAGGTAGGTTACCCAGTTCCTTAATGAGATAAGATATCAATAATTCCGCTGATATTTCTAGTATTAGTGTGATCTTTCGCGTCTTGATGTTGTGTTAACGAATATCGTAACGAAGTTTTGACCCAACGACTTAAATTGTGATGGCTAAGTCCGTATATTGAAACACACAGACAAATGACAACAACCGTCAAATGTTTGATTTGCCGATTGTATACGAGTCTCAAACCACTTAAGGTAAAGCCTGTTTTATTCAGCTCATCAGTGTGTCACCATCGGGCTACAGATAAGCGTAGAAAATTAATTTACTTGCTAAACATTTTCAGATGTTAATTGTTCTGGAGATTGCAGCGTCTCTCATTAGCAATGGCGCCATTAGCGAAGAGGCCAAAGTGCGGATCTCGCAAAGGGTGGCACAGTTCGATTCGGGAAAGTGTATGCACTTTGTTATGGCTATGCTCTATAAAGCCTCACCAAACGAGTAGATGCATCCATGTTAGACTATCGATTATCACATTTTTTTTAAAATAAATCTATTTCATCTTGTGCACTGTTAAAGTAGATTAAGGTCTGTCTAATTTTACTATGAACCACCAATGTCGGCAAGAGCAGAACTGAATGAACAGAATGCTAAGATATTAAGGGCAGGGCCTCAACATGCACTGCAGCAATAGGAATTTAGGAATGCCAGAGTAATCTGTTGTGAAAGAAGTCGTGAAGTGATCTTGCATTATGGGGTACGCGTGATTCTCTCTCTTTCGTCATGTGACCGTTGTCAAAACCGTCTTTAAATCACGATTGAAGCAAAAAGTACTTAAAATGAAAAATGTTTTAAAACATTTTTTGCATAGATTTTCAACGTGATTTGATCGGCGACGTTTCACTATTTTTCGGCTAGCATCATAGCCCCATTACTTTAGAACTTCCGTGGTTTCTGAGCGAAAAATTGTAACTGGTGATTTTTGCATATTAGTTCCATTAAGGCAGGCCTGCAGAGGCCGAAAAAGATGATAGTCTTATGGGGCAAGATCCAGTTTATACGGCGGATGCACTACAATTATGTAACCTCAAAGCCATCTGACTAACAGAATAATCAATGCTTTTTTCAATAATCCAAAATAAACTTAACTTAGAAACACGTAATGGTTCGAATCCGAGCGTACACACTTCGTTTTGTGCAAGGAGGCTGTCACTTGAAGCAACGCCTAATAGGTTAAGTACCGGGCGTAGAATTCGAAATTATATGTTGGCTTGTCAAAAAGGTATTTACCATTTTTCCGGCTTAGATGGTCATTCAAGTCACGTATATCAAACTAGTTTTCTGTATTTTGCAGTTTTATTAAGATGAAAGCCCATATATCGCCAGATTCATTAAAAAAAAAACTCGTGCTGTCTATTATCAAGATGCGTTTAAACGGTTAAACGTTTTTTGTTCTAAAAGTCTCGATACGAAAAAATGCTTTCGTTACGGAAAAATTGATGAAGTGGTTGCGAAAGTAAAAAAAAAGCTCGACGTTTGGGCGCTACATGACTTAAGGGCAAAGAACTTATGAGGTCATGTTTTAATCGAAACTGGGTTTTTTTTAAAGCGATCGATCTTGGGGTGATGAAGAGGGATCGCATGCAATTGTAATGTGCAAATAAAGAAAAACACGCTCCACAATCGATGGCAGAATGCGGACTACCGCCAAAAAAAGTAATGCTATGTCTTCGACGGGATTAGAAAGAAATCGACCATTATGAGGTGTTTCCGCTTAGAGGAACAATTGTTTCGAGCCTCTACTGTCAACAAGTAACAAGATTACAACAAGCCATTGAAAAATATGAACCGTAGTTAGTGAACAGTTAAAACGTCATCTTGCCCCATGACAGTGTTAGACCACATATATTTTATCTATCTATAGATAGAGAGAACTTAGATAAAAATTATAATGCATCTGCTGTAAAGTCAAATCTTGCATCGTCTGGCACTATCTGTTTCGATTTGCGCTGAACGGTGTGGAATAACGGTTATATTAACAGCGAGATGCAAAAATTGCTTTTAACACAATTTTTCGCTCAGAAACAGTAGCGGTTCTACAGTGATAGGATTTTCAAATCCAAGTCCATCTGTTCACGTTTGCCGGTAGTAGCGAAAACGTTATACATACAGGTGAACAACATAGTGTACCAATATCGGAGGGAGTATATAGAATCACTTAGAACACTTCCCGTCATATGGATTATGCGAATCTTCTTGAGTTTATAAAGCTATGCTAAGAGATTTGCCAGATGTCGTAAAGGTGGTACCAGGGGGCATAATGTCCATCACAATTAGTCGAGAAGTTCTGGAAAGCTCGGTTTCGTGCAAAGTCTATGGTAGAATTCATGTATGGCAAAGCAAGTGATGGAATGTATGTTTTGTTTATTTATACTCGTCGCTTCTTATCAGATCCGACACTAAAAGGTCTTCCTCGATATATAGAAATTCCAAGGTTAGTCTTGAAGATTTGCATTACTAGAAGCTATAGACGACATAGGTTTTCGGACGACAGTGACAAGTCGACTAGGATATATGCGAGGCGATTTCGGGTCCCATGTGTAGGTACGGTGCTCTTGTGAGGAAAAAGCTTTTGAGGCAGATGTTCTAACTGTTCGAGTTTCTCCACTCTAAGATTTCCCCAGACGATACGTTGTAATGGGAACTACCTTGAGGCCGAATAAGCTGAAAGTGGTTAAGAGGGATCAGCGATGAGGCGACTGGTTCACTCATGCGACTAACATTGCCTTCTTGCTTCTTTCAGTGGGGTGCACAGTGAAACTTCTGCCATTCTCATAGAAGTGTAACGCTAAATACGGAAACTTATAGACATAGAAAAAAAACGACTTGGGGATGCAGAAAATCGTCAATGCCTTGGCCCCGTCCCCTTTATACGTCACCGCCTCCGTCTAAAATGACGTGTGCGCTATCTAAGTAGTAGCTGTTTGATTTCAGTTAGCAAGACGGAGAGTAGCTCATATCAATTTCTTTCTTTGCTATTCCCGGCTGTGATCAATTTTTCTTATTCAAAAGTTGGAAGTGCCTTATTATTTCCAATTGATTATATACTAAAAAAAAACTATATAAAGCTATATATCTGTAATTCGATCTGCTATATCGATATATATATATATATATATATATAGTAATTAGTACAAATCTGGTGCCACCAGTGGGATCCAAATCCACGCTCTCCAAAAGACTAGTTCACCTGCAACTACGTAGAACTAGTCCTGGGGGAACGCGGCTGCTCTTGTCAAAATCAGTCGAGGCTTGGTCATCAGGGCCACATGGACGTAAGTAAAACCGTATGAAGATTGATGGCATTCTATTTCCCGGACAAGAATATATGAAACACAGTACTTCAGGACGAGAAGAAGCCCACTTGTACGGGCCTGTTACCGCGTACCTGCGCAAGGCACCTTCAAAGCTGTGCCAACAATCAGCTGGCTTTGGAGATACTGGAATCTCGCTTATGTATGTACATATATAGCAAGGAAAAGAAAGAATAAAAGAAACTTAAGCTATATGGGCCAAAATTTGCTTAGCGCTATTGCTAACCGGTGTTACAAGAGAAAAAAGATTATACCACTATATTCGTCAGCCTTTTTTCTATTATATGGTCTACCGCAAGTTCACTACCACTCACTCACTCACTCATCTTTGAGTATATCAATTGAAAATCAAATATCAAATGTTTTTCGCTCATATAGTCTGTCAAAATGGGGATACTGAAGCTACTAGTGATTTCGTTCGAAGAAGCTAATTATTCAAGCAAGCTAATAGAAAGTGTCTTTCTCACTAGAAAAAAAACTATCACTATGGCGAGAAGGTACGATGATTTACTGCCAAGTTGAACAGGTCATAACATATGTAATAGATTATGATTTGTCTACTATAGATCGACATGAAGTTATGCTGCCCACTGTGAAAGCAGCTTTTGAATCATTCAAGCGTACTCAAGAGTAGCGCTTCGTTCAAGAGTGGAAAAGAATAGCCTCCAAAGCCTACCTGACTGCCGTGAGTTTTGTGTAACTATCGTGTTTGCCCGTAATTTTGGTACAAAGAACCATGCATTATGAATTCTCACCCATAATGATGATAAAATCTTTAACATTTGTGTGAAAATTAGCATGTAAGTGCCGGTGTAATAGATCTCTAGATATTTATATAGTTAAGATTACACTTATTTCAGATTTTTTTAAAGTAAAAAAAACACAACCGCATAAATCAAAAAGTTGTTTATTGTTTTCTAAGACCAGATTCAGAGCTAAAAGAACCGTTTTAAGAAGTTCGTGGCAATAAAATGACATATGCACATCCCCTTTTTATCGAAGTTCGCGTACACGTGGAGAACGTAAGTCTTATTTTTGCATCAAACTTTCACTGAAAAAATGCGATAGAGGTACTTCATTGAAAGGTGCAAATGCGATACGTTGCTGAGAAAATCGGCAGGTGGTCCAATTATTGCGAAAATATATGTTTTAGTTTAACTTAACATTCCTATTGCGCTGAATTGCGTGACTCTAAGGCCGTATAATCCTTTAAGTTTATCTATAAAGTTAACATTGACGGCATCAAGTTCCATAGGTACTCGGATTAAATTGGTCTACCTAAGTACGTTTTGTACGTTGAGTAGAAAAATGTTTATGGGGGAATGGCGTATAAGTGTTTGCTAACGATTGAGTGTTTCTGGCTGTTCCCTAAGATATTCTATCCGTACATTAACTCTCGAACACAGCACATATCTTCAGAGAAAAATGTAGTAAAAATCGTCTTTTCCCTATTAATACACTTGCTGACTACTAATCTTAACTTATTAAATGAGAACTTACTGCTGGTACTGCCGTTTAGCATTGCCATGAACGTCTGGCCACCACTACAAAATGAGGTATGCTTATGCGCTGTCTCTGAATACTATGTATATACAACTCACAAGTCCCCGCGATAGCGCAGTGGAGAGCGTGTTGGGTTACTACATACAGGGACACGACATGGTTTAAGTTCGAATCCCCGTGTGGGCTCAGTTGTTTACTCCGAACAGTTTAAACAATTCACTTTCAATAGTAGTGTGGTAGTTCACTTTATTCCCTTACAAAGCAAACAACAATCCTAGATATTACTAGCATTACAATTGTTTGTTAAAGCTGAATCTCAACGTGGAATAAGAACAAAATACATTTGAACTTTCCTTTTCCAACTTCAATACCACATGTGAGAGATTCTTCAGTATAAACAATTTCAAGTTATCAGTCAGTGATTTCTCTTATTATAGAGGCTGAAATCAGTTAGTCCTTGGCGACTTTCTGGGGTATTTCACGAATACCAAGAGCTCCTAATTACAAAACCTTCAGACGCGTTCATGCAAGATAGCTCAGTTTTTTGGCAGCGCGCTTGTTCTCATGAAAATATCTCTCTAAAAGCTACTAATGATCTGCTAATTCAGATTGTCGCCGTTACTTTTGTGTGCAAATACGTATATAACGTTTACACTTCAAGCTGCTTGAGACTACTTTCTCGTTTTCGGGCTTTTCCTGTTTGCCCACTTTAGAAAAACCGCCTGTTGACAAATTTTATGACTTGCACAGCGATTTCTCACTAATTATCGGAAGAAAGACGTCCGCGATAATACTCTGCGTAGATGCCCAAACCTTAAGCTCATCCTGGCTGGTTCGTAGTACCATAAAGATCGAGGTCCAATACGTTTAAAGCAACTACCACGGTTCTGACAGGACCCACAAAGGCGGTTTCATACGCGTCATGTGTACTAATACCAGCATATGTAAAGCATGTCGTAGAGCGCTTATCGTTGCTAACATACACTATCGAAAGTGTACATGATACTCAAATGTGATGAACAGAGATTTTTACATGCTGCCATGACTGTATTGTAAATTGCACTCCCTACAAGCTAGAGCTTTATCGCTGTGCGATACGTACTATAGATTACATCCATTAATTACTCTGATTTGTGTAGATTGACTCGAATTGAAAATTGATGCGATAAAGAAAACGAACCTCAAAGCTTTGGCACGGCAGGGATTAACATTAGAGCCCGATAATGAAAGATTGCAAAGGGCAGATGAAGTAAGAGGACGCTCGTATACGCCCGCTATAGCCGTGACGAGAGGGGAGAAGATCCGCGAAGGCGTTTAAATGTATCGGAACGGTGGAATGCATGGAGCCTTTCAGTCGATGCCGAAGGGATCTGTCCTTTATGGACAAAGTATAGCAGATCCTGGAAGTTACGGTACAGCGAGTCCTTTTGATCACATCTTGCACCTGCTGAGTGAGCTGCTTCGCTCTATTCAGTTCCATCCTGCTGCTAATGGTGCGGCTATTTCTGGTCCGGAACCCACTCATTATACTAGAACGGAGCCGGCCGGTACAAATTCGGGGATATCAGGCAGCCCAACAGTTTGCAACTCTGGCTTCATCAATTCAGTCGTAGGTCAACCGACTGTTTTCGAAGCTAGGTCAAGTTATGCTCCGGGAAGTTGTGCTCGAGAAGATGGTGTCTGGCATGCATATACTTCAGGCACGCCACAAGGGGGTATGGTTCTCGATTTTGACTCACATCGATATTTTGATGAAGTCGATGCTCATAGGATTTCGGCGACAGCGGATCCCTATATTGTGGGTGGAGGATTGGGCGCAGGCCCGCTATTCAACTTGGAGGAACTTAGCCCATACCGTTCACACGCTGGGCAGCACCATTACGATGCTAATGACAACTACGCTGGCATTTGCTCGTTGGGTAGCTTTAATACTGGCCCCTATAATGAAGCCGAAGCAGAAGCGCTCTACCAATCTGTACAGAATCAAAGCTTGGTTGGAGCACCTCGAGCCGCTGGCCTCGGCTTCGATAAGGGCCGCCTCTCAGATACTTTTTGTGGAAGCAGTATCTGTCCTCGAAGTGCCTGCCCTCGCGAGACGTTCAATGCGGGCCCATATTACGTAAGCCGAGAAACTTTGGTAGTTTCACCTTGTACAGCTGGCGACCACCTATATGGCCCTTGTCGCATTTTACCTCCAGACATTGCTCGCTACGAAGCCCAAAGGAATATCCTGTCTCGACCCGTCGTCGGCGGAGCAAACTATAATACGTGCTGCACGTGCATCTGTATATGTCGGACCGACTTTAATCCAATTCGCTGGTAAACGCTACCATATGAAGGTTTGCTCTATTTCATAATTCGTTTACAACGGTCTATATACTTTTGTTAAAAACATGATGTGGCTTCAACAGACCGGGGATCCACGATTGCTTTGTCTGGCGTAGTGTACAATAAAATTAACTCAATCAGTGAGTAACAAAACGTGTTCGCTTGTTAGGAAGAAACAGCTCGCTATACATACGGGCTAGGGTTGTCATAGTAGTGCTTTCATAGTAAGAGAACGTTCCTTTTACGAGTTACCAGATTATTCTCGAAAATGTGGCACAAAAATATTAGCGAAGTGACCACTTTTGAGTTTGGCACTTGATAGTAAAACTCTGTTACGTCATGTATCGTAATGCAAACGCGGAAAAGCATGATCCGATGAAGCCATCAATACACTTGTGAATGGGTTGGTTACCTTCACTTTTACCTTAAGAGTTGAGTCAACTTGGAGTACAAACTCCGTGTCACCTTGAACCAACTTACAATCAATGGGCTTGCTTTCTATTCTTCCTTCGTTTTAGGATCAATTTTATTTTATTTTACAATAAAATCCTAAAATATTGAGTGAGTATTGCCGCGGCTAAATAGAACAATAATAATAATAGAATAATAAAGATAGAACAAAAGTTAATTCGTCCGCAAGAAATTCTAAAGCCGCATTTGATTTTCGTCATTTGTAAACTGCTGTCTAGTGAATTTCTACCGCTCGAACTTCTGTATTCGTGGATTTATTGGGTCTTAAAATCTGTAATGGGGAAATCTAGCTAAATAGTTCTCGATTAGTTTTTGGAGGTTGTGAGTCTCTGATACAACAGGTTACAGCATAGTAAATGCCGCTATTCGAGTACTCTCAATGCCAAAAAAGTTTGACCTCCTAATTGTATCCCAATGAATACAAAATAAATTACAATTGTAAATTGTCATGTTAGCAAATGGTCTACCTTGAGGGTATGAATTATAAACGAGCTAAGGTTGGCTGAAGGCAAGAAGGCCGCTCCATACAAGTTTCGTAGCATCCAGGTTAATCTTGCTTAGCGAGGAATTAAGGAAGCGCTTAGGTTCGACGGGTTGAGCTTTGGCTCCGTATTATTTAAACAAATGTATTGTATTCGAGTCCTCATGCATAGAAACATGCATTCCTCATGAATAAGAACAAATAGTGCTGCCAAATAGCTCGATATAAACGAAATCTGTCTGTTCTCTGAGGAGAAGGACTGAAAGAGAAGACTGGGCCCTTTATATCCCCAAGCTGCGCTCTGGGTACGTACAACTGGAAGCAAGTCTAGTTAGCCGTTTCTTTGCGTGCTTTGTTGGGCCTCGCGGCCTAGCACGTGTAAGACTCATCTAATGCATACAAAGCAAATATAAACAAAAGATTCCAAAAAGTATTACACATGTTGGTTGGAATTTTTTTCGCATCAGCTTTTTTGATGTATGCTTCAACGCGTAGAGATAGTTTGATACATCTAAGTGCCTCTTTTTCAGCGAGGCATTTTTCATCAGAATTGTATCAGGTGTGAAGTAAAAGTTACTGATAAAGGTTTGTTGGTTCGTTAGTTCGGCCGCTAAACGGAACGGATATCAAATGTGGTTTCAGAACAGGATCTAAACAGTCTTCTTAAACCTTGTTTAGCAATGGCTTGTACCAAGAAGTGATTTTTTTTCTTGGTGTCTCAATACCGAATTAGTGTTTGCGAAAAGTTTACCTTAACTTCGAAGGTCTTGTGACTATCTCTGTTGAAAGCGGACGCCCTCGGCGCGTTTTAGAAACCCAGTGCGTGAAACACGCACAGCTTGCCGCCTATACATGAGAAGCTAACTGTGTGTCTTATATCAAACGGATTTCAGAAGCTGATTGCCTTGCCTCTACTATGGATTACGGGGCTAGTCTTGTCCGGAATGAGGAAAACTCGGACTTGCCATTTTGGTGCAAACCTTGGCTTCCCAGCGAATCCCCTAATTAACGCCACCGGCGAAACACTACATAGAAGCACGGGCAATAATGAAGCGATGTGTTTGGACACTAACGGTATCAGCTCCGATACGAACCGTTCACAGGCACCTCAACTGACATGCTGGATTCTGGTTCGCGCGGTTATTTTAGCCTCACTTGGTGGACTATCACTAGCAGCTAACGGTGCGACCCTATTCTCGATTTGTTGTCAACATACGCGGCGATCAGCACCCCATGGATCTAGCTTGTACACATTTTAGCACATATGGCCGTGGCGGATTCGTTTGTTGCGGCATTCTGTCCTTTGGCCGAAGCGGCGTGGACATAGACCGTTTCATGGTTAGCTGAATCCTACCTACAAGGCGGTAAAATTGTTGTTATTTGCTCTTTACATACCAACCCCGTTTCCCTGGAACTCAACAGATAGGTTACGTGGCAGATAACAACTAGTCACATTCAAACAGTTAATACAGTAGCCCCGGGGACGGCTTATTAGTAATGTAAATGCTTGCTATTTTGATAATTTGAGTAACGCGTGTCAAAAAGCTTTCTTTATTTACATTAGCTAGTCTCATATCATGGGGAGATTTGGAAGCAACGACCCCGGAAAAATTGCGAGTAAGCTTTATTTCTTTACTTAATATTCAATGCATAAAGGGTAGGTTGAAACGCGCGTACTTGAATGGATACTTAAGACGGAGGCTTAAATTGACCAATTGTTCGTCGGTTAACTTTGGCCTCAAAATTGGAAATGCATATCAGCATATCAGTTTGCTATTATACCTCATGATAGCAGGGGCATTATACGGTCACGTTACACTTCATCTTGTGAAAGATACTGCTTAAAGTATGCCCCTGAATGTCTGCCTCCTGTTCCTTTTTCAAGTCTTTGGTGCGTTCTCTGCCATTTTTATTGGCAGTCACTTGCTCGGACTTCCCGAGTGTTCCAAACTGTAGCTGAATTGCTGGGCATGTACTCAAATAAATTGGGCTCGTCAAAGCGGCCATGAGCTATTTGCTTTCTATGGGGCAAAATCCTGCATAGGTCCATAAGATTGTCCGAGAAAATATGGTTCTAGCCGTTCCCCCAACTAAATTGAATGGATTTGAGTTATGCGCACCTATAAGCCAAATTAACATGGATAATAAAATGTTATACCCCATGTGACGTTTCTGATAATGGCTGGGACCATACATGAGATAGCCGTGAGCAATCCTTAGGACCTCTAGGAACTATTTAGGAACTAACGTGAAATGTAATAGTTGGTTTCGAATCTAATCGAATGAAGTGACTCAGGCAGACGAGTACAATCGTATCCTCTACTTTTAACGCACGTTTATATGAGGTATTTTCACGCTGGAAACAGGTCGTTTATGACTGCGTCAACGTAAAATTACACCCAGTAATATTTAGATTCCGTTTCACGGACGTGTCTCATTTTGTGCTGATGACCGCTGCCCTATTCGGCACGAAAAAGATGGCAATAACCGGCCGTGATAGAAGCCTGGATTTGGCCAATACTGTGCTAACGATTTTTGTTATTAATCAAACAGACAAACTGTAATTGTTTTTTATGTCGCCTGTTCAGTGATAGAAATGAATAGTCACTAAAATACTTGCACCGCTAACAGACCAATATAATCTGTAGCCCTAGCCAAGCAGGCGATATAATTCCAAAATAAGCCATCGGCCTAATCTATAGTAAGAAGCAGTTTGATTAGCATTCGTTGTAAAGGCACAAAAGTGTTTAGGATATTAAGCGAGGTAGTGGAAGTAAACAATTTGTTTATTTATATATTGTAATAGGATTTTGTGGCGTACAGAGTTTGGCTTTGGGGGACATGGAATGCACTGAGGTCAGTTACGTCGTCTGAAAAATGGGGTGTGACAAACTCAAAACGACAGAAGGTATTTGGGACTTTACTTGAACGGATTAAACTGTAACCTGTTTCAGTTGATCGATAACGTAAAATACGATTCCTATATCATTGCGATAAAAGCAACTATCTATTCTCGCCGTTATTGTCAGGTCGACTCTTGATCAGTCTCAGTATGGCTTATATCTAAACCAAGTCTGTGTCTTGAATAATATGACTAGTTCTACGGCAACGTTCAATTTCCACGAAAATTTTTTGCCAACATGTTACGCAAGATGCGACAATACTCTCTAGTATTTAGCTTATGCCATATGACATGGCAACGTCGAACAAACCGACATCGATGTTGTTTCTCATAGAATCCGTTTATCTCGCATACATTGTGCCTTTTCCTGGCGCTCGGTCCATCAAGCATGTCTGTTCCCTATTGCTGTAATCATTTATTTCATACAAGCGAACTATATTGAATTATTTTAAGGTACGCAACAGATATATGATAAGCTTCAGCAATTAGTAGCTTTCAAAAAAGGGATCCATATTCCTAAAAATAACTTCGCGTACTATTCAATGCAAATGATCTATCTGATTTTCTTTCCCTGTCTCCGTTTTATTTATAAAATTTTTTCAGTTTTGTACTTTTATTGTATCATATAGATTTGCTCGTAAGGATTTGGTTGTTTTTCAGTATGGCCTGTACAGTCGTTGGATTGACGTTGTGCTTATACTGCCAAAAAACATTGGAACTTTTGGTTACCCGACGGTGCCTCATGGCAGTCAACTGATCCTCTCGTGTTTCCAGCTCTGGTCTCGTTTTCTCAACCCCTTCAAGTACCTTTCTTGTAGCTCTGAAATTTATAAATCGTATGGTCGCCTAAGTTACCTAGGTTTAAAACATTTAGGTTTGAAATTCGTTCTACATACTCATAGCGCCTAAGCATACAGACGACCGCCTCAATAGACTATTCAACCTATAGCTTCTTCGGTTGGTGTGAATTTAGTGTGGTGTAGGTTCGAATCCCGGCTTAGACACGCGGTCCGTTTCGTGCTGGGAGCCGGCCATCTGTCTGATGGAACGCCTAATGGCAAAACAGGACATAAAATTCGAAACAGCACGTCTAGCATGACAACTAGATAGTTGTACGATGTTGTCTGTCTGCCATTTTGTATAAGCTAAGCTTTCTCGATGCTATTATCCAAGTCCTGTTCTCCTGAGTATTACTGCGTGTGCCGGCTGCAGGAGGCGATGTAATCGCTTCGCCCCGACACAGACTGTTACTCCTTACGCTTAGTTCAATTTTTCTTCTTTTACCAAAGCAGGCTGTCGTTTTGTTCGTGAAACAAGGTGTTACTTAGGGCAGCTAATTTGTCCAATGAATAAACCGTCGATCGAGTGCTCTAACGCTAATGATCATAATGTAAAGCTGCATATCGAGTTTGCCATCGGTAATAGCGGTGGTCGTGTTCTCTACTCTACATAAAAATAAATTGCTCCACTTATATTTTTGGCCAGGGATGGTCAGCTGTATCTACATGGAACAATCAACGCTTAGCGATGCTTTTCAATTAATGTAAATATGTCTCTTAGACAGAAGAACGCACTGTCACCGTTCTAATGGATGTCCATCACTTAATACCTAACACATTATATTTTAGATGCGTATTCTCAGATTATAAATTGTATATACTAAGGAAGGTTTGATTGTAGAGCTGAGAACTGTTGCTAAAGTGGATTCATATTTTTAATTTATTATGGATGGTTGCGACGGAAAAGTGGACGAAACAAATCGATGGAAAGGGAAATTTAATAATAATTTTATAATTTGTAATCAATTCAGTATACAAGCTTAACTAGAAACGACATTAGTATTTCTTTAAGGTAGTTCGTAGAAGAGATATTAATGGGCAAACGCCAGAATGAATAATAACAAAAAACAATGCCGTATCGACAAACAGTCGCTTCACATTGCCTACAAAAGCTACTCAAACGAGATTCTGCTTGCGCAACGTTTCTGAAATAATAACATGATCGAGGTAAAGGCTTAAAGCTTAATCTTTATTGGCAAAAGCGGTTTTGCTTTGGCCAGAATGGTGATTCATTCGAATTGGTGAAGACAAAGGGGGGCTGGGGGTTCGCCAAGCAGATCTACGCTATGTCAACGTCAATCGGTTTAATTCGGTTAATTGCCGGTGTTCGCCTGAAGCTATATGCAAATGCGGTTCTCCATTAACTAAATTAGTCGCACCTCTGCCATTAAATTAGACACCAAATCAGTAGCTGAAGTTGTCACGAGATTGTCATTCGAAATTTCGCAGTTGACTATTGCCATGCCAACGGCACAGGGGGAGGTAAGGAAGCATCGTTCTGTTGCTAACAGTTAGTCAACGCTTACCCAATTGTGGAGCAATTCATATATTCCAGAAATTATTTGCACTCCTTAGCGTGAGTTGACTATCGAGGGGTATTAATTATTGTATTACTTGCCAGAAAAAGGCTTCACAGAGTTCAACTTGTGTGAAATAACTGTGCGTATATGGATACTACTGATAAATAGCATTTAGGGGACAACCGAAACGAAACTGACTTGGTGTTTATGTTGGTCACTCCGAACCGCCTATTTATTTCGACTGTGTTCCCGTAACTGCGTCTGCAGTAAAGTTGATATGTTCAGCCATGCTGCCTAGATTTTTTTTGATTAACGCAAAGTGCCGCCTGTTTCTTGAGATCAGCATTGTAGTGATTGAAGTCCTTATAAAAATATACTAGCTTGTTTAAAACTGTGTGTTCTTGTTTGAATTTCAGTTAAATCAAAGTCGTTTCTCCTATATCGAGGAAGACATATAAATAGTACGTTTACGATATTTCAGCGGTTTAAATACAGCTAATATTAACAATGTTCTGTGTTGCCATTTTTGTACAAATAACGCCCTTCGGGTTAATTTTTAATGACGAAGTCCACGGACGTATCTTCGAGAACACAGTCTTAGTCACTTTAGCGGTGTAGTCGCCTCTTAACTGTCGGGCGCGTTATTTCAAAATGCCATGTATTAGCGGACCCCTATAGCCTATTAAGTATATGTATATTGAGGTCTGCTCTGAACTTTTCACTGTTGTATCAATTGCTACTGCTATAAAAGCTGTCTGCAAACCATATTCCCTCAAATGTTTATCGAAGTTGTCAATATTATCGAAGAAACATGTTATACAATTCGTGTGAAATGTTCATTGTTGTCACCCTAAGAAGTGTTACTATATATATTATGTTACATAGATGTTACGTTATACATATTATGTACACATAGATGTATGTAAATTTTTTTAATGATTACTTTGGAGACAACCGATGCCATAAAAGGACATTAAGAGTCATCTATCGTGGGACCGAAGGGAGTGCACTACGATTTAGTTATTTTTAGATATATTTTTAGAAAATACCAGTCTTAGACACCCATGCCGTCGCATCATATAGCTCCACTATACAAGGTAATATGGGCCAAAGGTTAGATTATATAGGTCAATAATGATTTCATAAAAAAAATTAGTTCAACAAAGCTAAGAAAAAAATATTTCTATTCGAAAGAAAATAGGATGTAACTATGACTACCCGTGAGTTGAAATTTGGAACTCGTCTAACTTAGGTACACATGAAGTTCCTTTATGCAGTATGGAACTGCCTGTTGGGGAAGGTAACATCTGATCGTCTTGCTAAAGAAATAACGACGCTGAATAACAATACGTTTACCGTTATTGAAAGCCAGTTTGGTTGCATTGAAGCCTATATAGCTATTGTTATTATGTATTGTTTTGGTATAAATATTTATTTATAATTAATTTTGATAAGTGGTTATGGTTAATCGCAATGTGATGTGTTTGGTGTGTGAGTGATGCGTTGCGGTAAAAAAATTTCAACAGCAATCAGGTATGTAAGGTTTTTGATAACAACGACTTGCGCTAGAATGGACACGGAACTATGTATTACTTTAAATTGACCTATTTAAACATTTACGCGTCGTTACTAGGCTGATTTATATTCTGATGCTGCCTAGTTCACTCATACCATTCGCAGAATCAGTATTAACGCCATAAAGTTTCCTACTTATGTAGCCCCTAAGGTGAGGATGTACTATAATTAAATATAATACTGTTACTGAAAATGAAACCAAAACAAGTGGGTAACTTTGCTTCTCTAGTATTTATTTATTTCAAAAGTTCGACAAAATGCGAAAAAA